TGTTGTTACTTTATTAACGTTTTTACGCTTATACTGTTAGGTAAAAATGGCTGCTGCTATGATTGTGTCTGGTTTATGAGCTCGTTGCTGTCGTAATTTAGGATCTTTTTTTTTAATAAATTCTTGAAAATGTTAAAAAAGAGAGAAAGGGGGCCCGGCGAGGATTTTTGCCCAGGGGCCCATGCTGGCTCTCGACGTTCCTGTTATTGTAGTGTTTAACACTGATCTAGTGCATTAACGTTTACATAAATTCATTCAGTATTGTGTTACACAAACCATATTCAATAGTTTCAATGTGGTGTTCTTGTGTGACTTTGTCTTTATACAAATAAATATGCATTTTCAAGGAAAAGTTTTCAATAGTACTTTAATTATTTTAACTGTAGGCCCTTTACTTTGATATTAGCTCTGTTGTTCAAAGAAATGTAAGACTAAACAGTAAACATTACAGTGATATTCATCAGTGACAAATTGAAATAAGTTTAGAAAATGAATTTGTAAAAAAACAAAGTTTTTTGATTCTGATCTTTTTTTTATTTAACTCTACCATGTCATAGTCTTAAACAAAAACCTTTTCATCAACATCCTTTCAGGGCCCATCCTCTAATTTTGATTATCTTTAACTTATTTTGCAACGGGCTCGGTATAATATACACAAGTTCGTATACACGTTTGCGCATGTTAAGTATTTATACTATAACTTTTAATTAAGTATGTGCATCTTTAAACAATTTGGTATACCTTTAGTAAACATTACAAGTATTTTGTACACAAAAAAATAATATTTTTTAATGAAGTATTTTTACTAAAGATTTGTTTGTGAATATATCGAGTCTTTTTCGTTACTAGTCCGAGTGAAAGTGATTATCATGTTATGATTAAAAATACTAATCTTCCTCCCAAAAATCTCAAATTTCTTTTTTGTAATCATTAAGACCTCCTAAATACATTTCAGACATTTGTTTTCAGTATAACTACATCTTATCAGTTATTTAATGATATACTTGAGTCTTCAGCTTGTAGACAAATCCTGAAAGTATAATGAAAAGACAAGTTGTAAAATTAGAAATAAAAGGAGCAGCTGTGCCCTTTTTTAATTATTATTGGTCACAAAGTTTCAAGGTACTTCTCGTATAAGTTTGAACTGCTAAACATTTCACATTTATTTTCTGTGTTTATTTTACTGTCAATGACTAAAGTAACATCCCGCAGAAAATAAACCAATAAATTGCCACTTGTGTCAGTAGACAGTTTATGTGACACCACCATAACAATACTCCTGAAAGCAATAAAGCACGCCCAAAAATATAATCCAGTCGACCCCCGTTCCGAGAATAGGATGTCTAATGTATCAGATTATGTATGCTGAAATGTTTTCTTGGAAAATTCAGAGTAATCTACTGCACTTAGAATCAGTGAAAACGTTTATGTTAACAACAGTGTTCGCAACAAGACATTTTGAGAGTAACAACACTGCACTTTGAACCTGTCAAAACATTTATTATGTGGTTTGGTGCCATTACAATAAACTGTGCAGTTCTTTGAATATTGGTAATCCTTTTGGGGTGTTTGGAATTCAGTGGCATAAGTGTACAAAGATGTTATATGAACACATGCTTATAAAATCCTATTTCCCTTTTCAGCACTTATTTGTCAAACAATAAAAACTCTAGTTTCAATACTACTTATCATACTCATTTAGTTTTGCGTGCCTTATAAGTCTAGTCTTCTTTGGAAAAATTCTCACTTTTGCAGCTAGAGTGTAGTTTAGAAGTTCCCTTACAGTTGTGAAACACCTTGAATTGTTACTGACTCTTACCTTGAAATAAGTAATAATCATTTATAATATATGTATATATATATATACAGAATCAAATGCAAAGTATAAATCTAACTGTATTAACAATATTTTGCAAAATACACCGATATTTTAGCTACCATATATTACATATATATTTGCTCATAAACGCTTAACTTTTAGTTGTTTTTCTTAAAACATGAACAATAAATGAAAATTACATAGAAAAACAGTGATTTCTAGTACGAGAAATTACGGTGATAGGAAAATAGTTTTCTCACGTGTGCCATTAGTGCTAAGCCTAGTTTATTTTTTCAAGTGGATGGTGAAGAAATATAATTATTGTTGGCTTCAAATACATATTTTAGAAAGAAAAAATATATTGCATTACTCTACTAGTACACCAAAAACATCTGTAACTTGCTTGGGTTTATAAATAAATTTTTATTTCCATTCAGAGCAACAATTTAATCATCACCATTCAACAGTCTTGGTGAAATTATTATTTTCTCTTCCACGCTCTTTACAAACAACTGTCAGAATCATGTAAAGCACAACTTGTCCTTTCTATTGGTTATAAACAGACCCTTAAGAAAAGTAGGTGGAACTAAAAAAGAGGTTTGGAAAGAATGGAGTAGGAAGAGGTGCCACTCTAGTTGATTTGCTAGATACATTGAATTCTCAGCAAATCAAAGTGGTGGGAGGTTCTAAGTTTATATTCTAGCTTGCCAGTATTTAAAATTCATGTTTCTAATTCATTAGCCACTTGTAGACGTATGTAGTAGGTGTAAAAAATATGAACTGAGCAAAAAGACACGAGGAGGTGCTATGTGACACACACAAATTGATATTTAGCATTAATTAATTAACAATTTCCTTTGAATTAAGAAATTGAAACATACATAATATTAAAATGTGAAACATAAGCAACATTTTGATGCCAATTTCATTGATATATATTAATAATAATAGTTTTGAATACAAATCGCTAACAGACCATGACACGTGCAGATAGACCCACCTGTTGTGAAAGGGTTAAACTATACATAAAAATTTAGCTTTAATATTGTTAAACAGCTGTTTCTAATAGGTCCTTTTTTGATTTCTAAATTTCTTTTTTTAACTAATTTCATAGCTTTGTTACTGTTTTGTAACTATTCTATTTTATCTATCAATTTAAACTTGTATGGAGAGAGACACTACTACCTGTAGAATGATAACCAATGCAAAAAATTTGAAGGACAAGTATGACTGACTGTAAGAACATAAGGTAGAAAAATGGAAAGCCATCTGACCTATTGAGATCATCTATTCTTCACAAATATATATATAATATAAAATAATAAATAATTTACCTACTACTAATGAACTTATTTTGGTCTGGAATGTAAAACTAAAAGTCACTTGACTCCAGTATTTGAATGTAAACCTGATTATTAGGCATCACAAGTTGAAACTTTGGATTGCTTGGTCCCTTTTTTTAGCAACATTATTTTATTGCTAGAATTACAAGTTTGGGAATTAGATGATTTGTCTGATGATAGGATGTTTTGAAGCTTAAGTTCTATCAGGTGTTTGTTGGATAATAAAATTCTGCATTTAGTTTGGTTTCAGATTCTTTGGTTAGTTTTGATGGGT